TAAATGTGCCCGGAGTTATTAGGGATCTGGGCAAATCCTATTTTAATATTCTCAGTCTGTCAGAGCACTGCGCCCTGACTGTCTCAAAAGCACGCCGAACTACCAGATTTATTATCAGAAGTTTTCAGACCCTCTAGGTTAGGAGTAACCTTTATAATATGTACGTAAGACGTAGTCTAGAGTAATTCTCGCCTCTATTTAGCCTTCTGCGCGCTAGTGAACCGAAGGAAATAGAATCGGTCCAGCATTTCTTCACTAAAAGAGTTTCTCTCCAGAACGCCGTAACCCGTCCTACCAGTAACGTCGTGAACTTATTAACCTTGATCCCTTGTGGCTTCGTAGAGTGCTATTTTTACTGTTTAAACTTTTAAACGGCCGTACCTTTAATCCTCTCAGTATCCTGAGGAAGCTCGACCACCCTCGCTGCGCCGATCATCGAAATGTCTTTTTATTTCTTCTTATGGCACACACAGTTAGATACCGCTAATTTTTTCGGGGCGCCATAGCAATCTGGAATAAACTACGCAAAAGTATTAAAAGTCAACAAAACTATCCCTTTTTAAGAGAGCTATAACCATTTTCTACATTCAGGACATCTTTCACGAATTTTCGGTGCTGACTCGGTGTAATCTCTATTTCACTCTGATTGTGTTCGGGGACATTAAACCCTTCCAGGCCTCATGCTGGGGACAATGGTTCTGAATCTGCCACTCGCAATCGCCTAATTCTTCAGCCGACAGCGAGCAACCGTTCGCCGACACATATTCATCTGGTGCCGAATCTCGAAACCACAACGCTCAAGGGAGACTGAGAACACTGTGTTTCTGTCTCAATCCTCCCCCCTCGCGAACTTCAGTCACTCAAGGAGCTACTGATTTTTTCTGCTAAACAGTAAACTCGATCCATTACTGTAAATATCGTTCGCTAGTATCGTTCCTTTGAAGTCAGGTTTTTTAGTTAAAACAAACCCCCTATTTTGTCCACTATTGATCATGCACAAAAATAAAACAAATCCAATATTGATTGTGAAAGAGGGAGTTTATTTATGGTTTTCCTGTCTTCCACGGTTAAAAAGGCGCCCAAGAGGTTCTTTACCAACCGTAAACTGACAATAAATAAATTCCAAGTGCGAGACACCTTGATGTCGCAAAACTCCAGAAACCCAACACTACCGAAGCCTTAAGCACAGAAATGCTGTCCCGTCTTGCGACCCAAGGCGACGGCAAAGGCAGCAGCAAGTTATCCTCACTGAAGACCTTCGTCTATGGAGCAGCTGAAAAAATTCTCGGATTCCCTCAGTGCCACCGCAGTAACTGGATCAACGGAAGATCCCTGCGGCCGTCTACCCAGGCGAATAAAGCCAAATCTCGCAATTATTTTTCCTTCCACCAACTCCAAAAGCTGACAGCAAAGCGAGCTGGACATGACCGGCAGAAGTATTGGTCGGAAACGGCGACTTTTATGGAGCAGTCTTCAAATGTTGGTGACACTCAAATATTGTGCCAGACCACCCGCTAAGTTAGTGGTAAGCCCTCGACACTCTGTGATTCTGTTCGCGATGTGAATGGCGACTTAATTGCTGACAAATCTGCCAAAGTCGATCGCTGAAGTGAACACTTCGACGGTGTCGTGCGACCGCCCTTTCGAAAACGAAGTGGCCGGTGCAATACAGGGATGTGTAACAACAAGGCATGAGGAGATGACAGTATTCCCACAGAAATCTACAAGTTTTGCGTCGACATTCTGGTTCCTTGTCTTCATGAGGTGATTGGACAAGCATGGAGACACGAGGCCGTCTCTGATTACTCGGGATCAGGCATCCTTGTAGCTGTCTACAAGAAGAGAGGTAAGATAAGATGCGAGAACGACAACGGCTTAAATCTTATCGATGTTGCTGCGAAAATCTTCGCTATTGTTCTACCCGGACGATTCCAGTCTGTGCGTGGCTCTAGACGCGAAACAACTAAGCCGGATTCCGCGCTGGGTGTGGATGTACGGACCAGATATTCACACTGAGACGGATCCTTTTATTCCATCAAAGCTACTAGCAATCAACGACCGTCTGCTTGGTTAACTTTGCCGCTGCGTTTGATTCCGTCCATCGTGAATCCCCTCGGCGGATAGTGGCTGTTATTTCCACTTCCACATCCATTTCCAGTGACTTCCTGCTAGACCGACTCCAATTGTTTCCCTCTTACGAAAGACTGTTCTCTCGTCCTCTGAACTGCGTGCCCGAGCCCCCTTCCTCCAAGAATTATGTTTCTGCCAACCCTTTTGTTTTCAGTCGAATGCACACTGGTGTTAAAACTAGTCCCCCGGCCAAGAACCATTTAAGTGGTGCTTGAATATTGTCCCCACTCCCCTTCGGCTCTCTTGCCTTTTAATAAGCCTTGCCCACAATGCTTCCAGCCCCCCACTGCAGCAAGAAACAAGTGTCTCAAGAGCTACTCGGTATTGCCTCCCCCTCTTTGGTTCGATTACAGCTTTAAATACCTCGGAATGAGGCTGCTAACCAATTGACAGAGCAAGAACGACAATTTCCCCCCGAATCGGTGCTGATTGCCGGGTTTTCTAAATCCCCTGAAAGCGCCTGTGGAACGGACGGGACATCTCAGTCGCCAGGAAGAGCCGCGTGTACCCTGCATCCATCGGATCGGAGGATGAGGGAGGGCTTCAGGATTAAAAGACCACTGCCTGAAGACCAGCTTTCGAGTAGAGCATGCAGACTTCGTCTCAAATGAGACAGTCAATACTCCCTGCGACAGCATCGCGTGGATATCCCCGACCATCCAAAAAGGACGACTGAGGTGGTTTGGACACGTTCTTCGTCGTCCAGCTCACGAGCTATGCTACGCTGCCGCCAATTCGTTTCCGCAGGTCACCTGGAGGCGTCGAAGATGTGGGCTATTGTGTATGACCGCACGTGTGGTCGGGATATCCTGCCGCAGTTCGCGGAAGG